TGTGGGGTCACCACCAGATTGTACAGGAATTTATTTGTTTAACTGAGCTCCATTATGCATTAGGCTAATGCTTTATAACTTCATCTGGATTTGCAAAATACATTTTCTATTCCTGATTTTATTTAGAGCCCTGAGAGATCCCAATTATGGCTCCATTAGGTTGGCACTCTTTCACATTAAGAACTAAACTTTCATTATTTTCCCTGGCTGCAGCTAGGATCTTTTCTTGAAGAGACTCATAAACCTGAATCATCTCTTGAGCAATCTGGTAGGTACTCTTCCCTCATACTGGTACTCACCAAGCCCGTTCCTGTCTTCCAATAGACATTTCAAAATGCAAGGAGCTGCAACTAGCAAAGACTGAAGCAAAGTTACAGAGTTCATTTGCCAAAGTCCATGTGCCTGGCAAATAGCAGCAGCTCTCTTTTCTGCCACCCAATTCTAACCACCGTGTAAAATGACCAGTGCGGTCTGGAAAGGTCAGACTGAGCAGTCAAAAGACATCTCTGGGAAATTGCCTTTGGACTCGACAGCACAGCAGGTCTGTTGCACCCATGCTTGTTGGAATTTCAGCGAGTATTTTGTTCCATTCTGTTTGTGCCTCCCCCAAATAGGAAGGCTCCTACCAGTTGTGTTCTGCTCATACCTTTCAGAGATATGCCACTGCATTTCTAATACAAGGATTTGAGGATAATTGTTTTTCGCCATTTGGTGACTGCAAGTCTCTTACTTTGAAAGGGTAGTTAGGGCCAGAACAGCATTTTTTTCAGTTTTGGCAGGATCTCCAAGGCACCTAGGAAGAGGAGCTGAGCTAGACCTGCTGTTGTACAGCACGGGGAGAGATGCTGCATGGATTCCACTGGTTTTGCAGATCACCCCAGTGCTGAAGCAAGAAACCTGTGATGGCTACACGTGACCTACTAATGCTTTATCATGTCCCCTTGTAGCACCTACAGACTGGCAACTCCCAAACTGCTTGCCAAACAGATGGAAGAGATATTCAGAGCAAAGCCTGGCCCTGGAAACTTGTGCACAGCAGTATGAGAAGTAAAACTCAGCAAGAGGCCTGAGTCTGCAGGTAGATAAACTGAGGAGGAGGGGAGGGAGTAAAATATATTGTAAAGCCCCTTGGAGGAAACAGCATCATAAAGGACACAGAAAAAGCCAGCACCTGCTGAGCCCATGAAACATTTTTCTGGGGCTAGTAGGGAAGGCAAGACGTCCAATAAATCAGCATACAGCAAAAAACAATGCACACCTCTTATGTAAACTCAAGTTTCCACCCCAGAGGAGGTGCAGCTTTTTATACTGAATCTAGCTATTAAACTGTTTTTTAGGACTGTTCATTGGGCCTTTATTGCTCCAAGCCCAAGAAAACATACATTGCTGATTGTCTTGCAGGTTTAAAGAAGAATTGGGTCTGGTTAAAAATACTGCAAAGGGTGGGAGGAAGGGGCAAAAGAATGCCAAATTATGCACAGAGCATATAGTTTATACTCTGTGTGTGAAAGGGTAGAGATATCAGAAAACCTTTAGGTCCTGTTGCTGAGAAATGAGTGCTAAGGAAGTAGAAAGACAGTACGGTTTGTTTTGATTTTAAAGAAAATCTGCTCACCATTTTTTCTTCCTTGGCAGGAGGACTTCGAAGGAAGAAACACAAAGGAGCAAAGAGAATATCCACAATCCCTATAATTGTCATGAGCCATGGGAAACCGATGGCCTTGGCAATGGCACCGCCAGCAGAGGGACCTTTTAGAAAAAAAACTTTTTATTTACAAATGCTGCATGTACAAAATATTTCTGACCATCATTAGAGAAACAAACCTGGTGAGCAATGTAAATATGAATTTTAAACCCAAGTTTAAGCACAAACCTTTTCTGGGTCCCAGTTTCACACCCACTGAAGTTCATGGAGGTCCTCCCATTGATTTCAAAGGGCACTAGTTCAGACCTTTCATGCACTTTTTTGCACCAAGCCCGAACCAAAAGGCTGGACACAAGGTTTCCCCACAGTAGACTGAGGGAGGACAGAATGAAACCCTTCCATCAGGCAGACTGCAACAGCCATTGCTTTAGCTTCAAGTACAGCAGTGGCCCAACACTGCAGACAGCTGTTGTAGTCAATGCCTGTCTTGCCTCAAACATCTTTAACAGCACGGATGCTTCTTGTGCAGGACACAGAGCCATGGCATACAGGCAGTGTGGAATCCTCACCCTGGCGCTCTGTTATTTCCACCGCACACCAATCCCAGGCTGCAGAAGCACACCAATTTTACAGTTAACAGAGCTGTCACTGTCCTAAAGTCTTTTTCATTTCTCTTTTCACAACTCTTTAGATGCAATGCAAACAGGAGAAAATTTAGTCCTTACCTAATGCAAACCCCATGCAAAAGGCAACATCAGCTATTGCATACACGCTGCCATAGACTGAAACATGGCGCAGATCTACAAGGTAGCCCATAATTGGCATCATGGAAGAATCCACCATTCCTGATGATGATAGGAGGGAAAATGTATTTAATGAAGCAGCTTTCATTTTTTCTCTCTCTTTAGCTTTCATATAAGCTAAAAAAATCTAACTGAAACTGAAAGAGATTTTAATCTTAAAAAACACTTCAAAGCTGTTCCTACAGGAAATAAACTATTCTGTCCATATTTATACACACACACAGGATTATATTAGTTTGGAGTCTATCATAATTATTAAACTGTATTTCACATGGATGACACCTGAGCTACGCTGTCACTGTGAATGAGAAAACAGCATGAGCTGTTTATCAGATCCAAAAGCTGTGTGAGATTCAAGGTTTGTAATGAATACTATAATAGCCACGCTTACTACAAGTTCTTTGTTTCTGCAGATACTTTAGAAAGCCCATCAAATATCAAATTAGGCATCTGTCTGCTCCTGTGTCTTGTAATGAAAATAATAAAACCCAAAAAACTCAAAAAGCACTGTTCTTTTTAAACATTTTATATGCAATGTGCTGAAAGAGTATATATAGCTATGCCAGGATATTTATACTGGGTCAGCAATACATCTGTTTCTAATGTGCCTGTTTCTAGGTAAATACCAGGCAATAGTAAAAAGTGTGTGAGGCCTTTTTTTTGTTCAATTAATGCATCTCTGGAATTGTAAAAATATGATCTAAATAGCCAGATAATCTGAAAGATGGAATTGTTCTGGGTTTAAACTAGCCTAGCTAATGAGATTCTTGGCTGAACGCTTTGAGTGTAGCCCTTGAAATAATTTCTAGCTTACAGATAAATTCAGATCAGAGTCCAGGGATGGTTATTCCTCTTTCAGCATGGCAACAGAAAGTAAAGAGCATATTACATATCGCTTTACTTACCAATGGCAAACCCGACCCCAAAATTTGGTGCAATGAGCCCATATATGTTTTTGGCAAATGGTACCTGAAAATTAAATTTCAGAAATGTAATATATCCTATCATATATTGCTAATTGCATTATTGTCTTTCTCTCAAATAACTCTTCAGAGCAATTAAGTGTGTTGCCTGGAACCATAGAACTGCTTGCACAGAAAGGCAAATTAAAACATGAGTAACTCTTTTGTATTGTTTCACAGAATTGCACCATAACAACGATAATGTAATTATTGCATTTAATTACATCTTAATATAGTAAGATATAACTGATTGGATGAGAACACTACAGAATTATGCTCCTGATTCCTCAAGACTATAACCTCCTGCCAAAAGATAAGTACTATTAAGGATAATGGAAGCAGAAGGCACTGAGGATTGGACACTAGGAAATATTAAAATAATGTTTTAAAAGGTATCACAAGGCAGCAACTACAATAAAAATCTACCAGACAAAACACAGAAAAATTTGAGTTGATCTGGCAGTTAGTTTTGTTGCTAGGACAAATTTTACTCACGCATAAAATGCTTATTCCCACGATTATCATCCCAAGCAGAGCACAAAGCCATCTATTAAAGAAGAAACATTCTCTTAGACATCAGTCAAATGCAGACAATAGAAGCGGTTTTGCATTTTTCTGTGTTATTTCTGAAGTGCAGAGGTTCATAACCAAAGAAATAGCAACATTATTTTATTTAATGAACTATTTGGCATAATTTTCTAGTAAAATCTAATGGCTTCTATTATTAAGTAACGGCCTTAGGAAGCACTAGAAATATTACAAGAATATGTCAAAGGATTTTTTTAATTAAGCATACCTTCCCATTTTGTGTGCGAGTATCCCAAAAATATTAGTTCCAATAAGATAAGAGATACTAGCTGGAATAAAAGCGATGCCTGAAAAATATGAAAGAGAGCTTATCAGCCATGAGTTCAATGAAGTGTTAGAAAAACTAATAAATTCAGACACAACAATTTTGATTTAAGCGTATCTAACAGAGTTCAGGTGCCTGGCCCAAGGCATCAAATATCCGGCGTGTTTCAGTCCTTTCATGAAGTCTAATGAGGTTTGAGATTGCCCATCAAATGCAAGAGCATCATGGTGCCTTTGAAAAGAGTTTTTCAGTATCAATTATAAGGATCTAGAGGGGAGGATTTATGAGAGAGACAAAGAACAAGAGTATACTCCTCCCATGTATATAGCATCTTTTGGCCAGATGAAGCCCATTGTAACTAAGAGATGGTCTTTGCACCAATGCAATTTACTACTACTTCCAATACATAAGGGGATTGTGGTTTTTAAGGAGCGTCTGTCTTCTACAAGTATAATCTGGCAAGAAGAACCAGGAGGAGGCAGAGCCTGCTTTCTGCTGATGTCCTTCCTGGAGCAGAAGGACTGCGACTTCACAAGTCGCAATCTCACT